GTTACTTTGTATCCAGCCCCGAGAGTTTCAGTAAGACACCTGGCAACTACGAAAGGAGATACTGTCCTGGCTTGCTTTCCGGTTTTTTCACAGTGCATGACGTGGAAGTGGGGAAAAGTTTCTATGCTGGTTGAAGAAATTTATGTCGTCGGTGCGTACCCGCTTTAGGCCGGTACGATCAGACAGTTGAGGGAATGCTCCATGCATGCCGGCCTTATTTTTGTTCAGCAGCGTTGGCGGCCACCCACCACGGAGCCCAACAAGGGGACGCTGCAAGTTTGCAGGTACTGAAAGCTTGCAGACGTCAGCCGTACAACACTGCCATAACCCAATGCGCCTAGACCAAGGTAGGCTATTTGCACAGGGTTAACCCTTGCCGCCAGGAAAATTGGAAGTAAACAGAAGAGAGAAGTAGACAGGAAAGCTAAAAAAGTAAGAAAGACGAAGATGTAGGGAGAGAGAGATAGGAAAAGGCGACGCAGATTTCCCCTGGGTGGGTCAGCCCAGGGGTGCCGTCTACGTGAAGCCGGGGCCAAAGGGGTGTGTTGCCTCTGCCGGGGGGCCTTAAAGGTCCAATCACCCAGCGTCAGCTCAACCCCCAGGATCCCCTTTTCCCCGGGCACGGCAAAGCCACGCACGGCTAGGCGTGGGAGGGAGTAGAAACTCCCCCGTTAGCTCGGGTCCGTGGTGTCGCTACACCCCAAACGCCTACTTGCGCAGGCGCCCCTGCGGGGAGAGGGGTAGATCGAAATACTAGTTTTATTTAAATAGCAGTGCTCTTGTTTAGTCTGCTTGATTTAGTTGATGTTGATTGGCTTGAACAGACTTTTCTTAACGTAAGCCTTCCTTGCTTCAAATTTAGTATTTCTAGATAAAATTTTATAGATTTTTATTTCCCGTGACCTGCTCCAAGTTTGCACTTTAGTGCTCCAAAAGTAAGATTTGGTGCTCCGAAAATTGCTCGGAATTCTATTTCGGCTGTTGCAATCTTGAACCTGTAGACAGTATCGCGCAAGGTGTGCTGTATATTTTAATTAAATACCTACTATGACAGTGAAGGAGGAGAGTGAGTAAAATATTCTTATGGCTGAATTAGGGTGACTGTTCATTTACAGAATAAGAGTGTAATGATGTGCGAATATGGAGTCTACAAGCTACCAGCGAACCTGGTCATGTTTGTCTTAAATACGGTGATCGATTGCGGCCTGCCGGCCCGCACATAAGACAGTCGTGGTGCCATATTTATATTATGAAGTTGTTACTGTTTGTTGCTTATTGCTAAATGATGCTCGCCTTATTTTCTCGCTTACGGTAATCAATAACACTCTGTGCGGCAAGCTACGCAAAATAACTGGTCTCAAGCATTTTTTTTCAGTGGGGCGCCTCATGTGGTAACTTTGTGTTGAAACCTAGCCGCGATACAAGGACCTCAGAATTTACACCTAGACTTAACTTATTGTGTAGATAAGCACCAATGTGTTTCTCAAAACCGGCCGCTGAATCCTTTTCTGAAGTGACCAGCGCAAGGGAAAGGTGTTCATTCAAATGGCCACATTAAATAGAGTTTCGTTCAAATTCTTCGCTTATTCACTATTCCGGCCCTTCGCGAGACTAAATTTTGGGGGTGTGGCCCGGTAGTTGATGCGAGTGTAAGACCACTGCCGAATACCGCAGCGATCCCTGGTTCACCGACGAAGTTCGGTGGACAAGACCAGTTTCCTAGAAGGATGAGACGAGCAACATGAGCCAAGTGGGTTCACTTGACCGACGACCAGCTGACGTACGTCAAACGCGCCACGGCGTACTTCAAGTCGCTCAAGCGTCCTACCATAACGAACAGGTAGTAAAAGCTTCTGGCATAAACTTATAATGTTTGCTTCAGGGGATCTACAACCACACATAATCACCTTTGTCGAATGGAATTGCGTCGCGATGTCAACTATCCCGCTGCCTTGAGCCATCTTGTGATGTCGGTGTATGCAGACTATCGATTTGACGGGCGTCTCTAGCACAGCAACAATCTCATCCCAGTTCTTGTGGTTGGGGGAGACGTATACTGTCGCGCTATGACTTGCGATGCGGATGTGCGTGGCCTCACGAGTTCAAAGGTTGCGCATTGCTTCCACTGGCCATTATTCCCATTACTAAACGTGTTTTCTCTTATTTGGGAATTATCCCAAATAAGAAAAAAATGTTTAATTGTTGCAATAAAAACAACTTGAAGCCATGCTTAACCCTTGAACTCATGAGGCCACGTGCATCCGTGTTTCAAGTAATTATGAGCGCGACTGTACAAGGTAAGCATATAAGGGTCCGATTTGAACGTTTGACAAGGCCGTTCGCCTGGGGATCATGTGGCAAAGAAAGGCAAAACTTCGAGGTGTCCACGTGAAGCAATTCTTCCACAGTGGAGGCGACGAATTGGCAACCACAGCCACAGATTATTACTCGGTTAACTATTAAATGCAAAGCGTTCCTTTGCGTACTGCAAGCACTTTTGATGTCTTAACTTGACGTGAACCAAAATTGGTATGGGAGGGTAAGATGATTTGGTGATTATGACGCGCTGGTAGAAACATGAATAATGTCACAATCCTGTCGCGTACGTCGTCAAACACTTCCCGCCAGGCAGTGACACATACTAACGGGCGAGTATGTGCCACAGGTGATTGACACTTGGTATCTAGCAAGCAATGACGAGAACACACATGTGGGCAATTTGAACGCCTGGACGTCTAGAAAAAGCTGACATCGGTAGCGGTGACTCGACGAATGCAAATTATAAATGTCGGAGTCCCAGCAGGAATTATAAATGTCGGAGTCCCAGCCAATTATAAATGTCGGGTCCAAGCATTCTGCGTGGCAATCAAGCATTGTACCACAGAACCGCGCCAGGTCTCGGCACTACTTCTCAAATAGATTAATGTTCGTGAAACGTCCATTCTGGTTGCAGCGCTGGTCATCCGATTTTGTAAACATTACATATGTACTCCTATGATGCAGAAGTCCCGTCGCCTTAACGGCGATTGTAGTTATAGGTACTATTCACTGAAGTTGATTTATGTAGCAGTGATCAGGGCTAGCATTCTCGCGAGCATGGTCGGCGTATCACTTCTGGTGTTGCTAATACTCATTTCCCAGTTGGCGTCGTTCCGCAAGTGCCAACAACTGGTTATATATACATTTGCAACTCTTCAACGTATGTCTGTGCAAGCAGCATTTGTACAGTCGCACGCGATATGAAGATTATCGCATGAGCGTGGACCTAGAACGCCAATGGCGCCACGTCCCATAATACCCTTTCGAGGAGAGGATGGTATCTCGCAACCTTCACTCACTTTTTTGCTGTTCACTACTATCTTTGGTTGATTTGGGGGGCTTAACGTCCCAAAACCACTATTTGATTATGAAAGACGCCGTAGTGGAGGGCTCCGGAAGTTTTGACCACCTGGAGGTTCACTACTATCTTAGGAAGCTGATTAAATGAAGCAATACCAAGCACGAGGTTTAGCACGTCTTTCCCAGCAACTTTGTAATCAGCTGCGGAGATAAGAGCCCACGAAGAATACACTAGATTGCAACGACTGGAAAGCTCAACATAGAAAAGGTGCAGAATTCGTTGTAGGGGGTGATTGTAGCATGGAATAGCCAACGAGGGAGAGAAAAAAAAATCCAATGTAGATTAAGGCCTGGCTAGACTGCACCTGCGCGCAGGGGCAGTCTAGCCCGGCCGTGCTTTCATTTTCATAGTTCTGCTAGGGCCCCCGAGACGTTAGGGAGGTCGACGCTTGTACGATAACCTCCATATCGCGAGTGACTGTACATGTACTTAGCGTCATTTTGTAACCATGTCGCTCAATAAAAAAATTACAGCACGGTCACGTTCCCTCCGCATGCATCGCATAACGTTGATTCCCAAGGTAAGTGCAGATCTGCCGAGTCTTTTTAAAGTCTTACGTGGAAAAACAACGGTGCGCTCATGAGGCGAACCCCTTGTATTGCGCAGGTTTCCGAAAAATGATGCTTTAACGTGTTCCGACATCATATAGCGTATGTACCCAAATTTGCGCATAAACACCATTGGCGTATGACGAAGAGGTCATGAGATGAATACACGAAACGCCTGCCGCGCAATTTCCGTGGTTTCGCGCGCAATCCACACACATGCTACGCTGGTGTGCGCCACAGAGAGGCGGTGGCCACACGTCATTCGCACCAACCGAGGAACAGCGAAAACAAAAATTGGAAACCGAGATACTTTACGTGGGTTAAACAATGAAAAGACTTGTTGCTTGTTGCAGCTGGCGATTTTAATTTTATTGTAGCGAACAAGCGCTTGAAAAATATGGTGCAACGACCCTTCGCCTAGCAACCATGCGGTAAAGATTTTGTTACCGATCATCAGTTGTAGTGGTGTTTGTATAATGTATATTGTGGTTTCCGTGTTAACTGCTTACTGCACAAAAATCTACAAAACGTCTAATAAAATACTCAAACTATTCGTCCCCACAACGAACTCCGCCTACACTTGGTTGCGATATAAGTGACGCCTAATGTGATTACCGACGGTCGGGCACTGAAATAAGCCTCCACACCCCAGTGGATTCGAAGGCGAGCCCTCGATATGCAAACTGCTCAAATTACACAAAGACGTTCATCAACCTCGTAGAACTTTGCATGCTGACTGAATGCTCCACATGAAACTGATGTCAATAATTCGTAGAATCCGCCAGGAATATTTTTTTGGACGCCATGCTATAGTCAAGTGGTCTTAGAGCTACAAATGCCGGAGGCCACGCCCAATGACAACTACAAGCAAACCTACCTGTGATGGCCACGTCCCCATTTGGATCCGCACGTATAGACAAAGTAACGTTTTTTGTGGGACAAAGTGACTCTCTACGGGAATTTTAATATCGCCGCGGCTGCGGGGGGAGCAGCCAGCGATCGTGCGATTCGTCGTGAATTTTCAGTTCCTCGAAGTCTGCGATCCCCGGTTCTCAGGAGTTGTCGGAGCTGTCCTGGTCGACGTCGCTGGAGCGCGAGGTGGCGCTGCTGTCACTGTCCCGCGAGCGCCGCTTTTCCTTCCGCGGCACCAGTACGGTAAGTTCGGGACGTCGACGTCGCAACGCCTCAAACCATGCCCGCTCCAGCTTTTTGTTGCCGCGTGTCAGCTTGGGCCATGCCTGAGAGAGCGTGTTCGCGCTGCAATGGTGGTGAGACATCACCACACACACATCCAGGTTGATCACCACGTACCTGAAACGGGTTGTTGCCTTGCTTCAACGGGATCGACAGGACCTTCCGGACTACATGTATGTATGTATGTATGTATGTATGTATGTATGTATGTATGTATGTATGTATGTATGTATGTATGTATGTATGTATGTATGTATGTATGTATGTATGTATGTATGTATGTATGTATGTATGTATGTATGTATGTATGTATGTATGTATGTATGTATGTATGTATGTATGTATGTATGTATGTATGTATGTATGTATGTATGTATGTATGTATGTATGTATGTATGTATGTATGTATGTATGTATGTATGTGCGCGTATCTATCTATCTATCTATCTATCTATCTATCTATCTATCTATCTATCTATCTATCTATCTATCTATCTATCTATCTATCTATCTATCATTGCATAAACGCATGTCAAAACAGGTGAACAAATTCAAGCGCGTATGGAAGCCCAATATCTCATGCATTATTGACCGTGTTGAACAGTTTTCTTAGTAACTAAAAAGGCTAGCCACAGAACACATGCAGCTCCATCTTACATATTTTGCACTGGCATTTATCCTACGAGATTCATTATTATATGTCTAATGTTACATAATTGACTTTTTTACCGCTAGAACCTAAACTTTCGGTTGATTTGTATCTTGAAAAATTTGTAACAAAACTGTGAATTGCATGATACTGATTCTGATACAATATTTGGATACACTTATGTTGACATCAAGGAAAGATAATCAGGTGGTTATACTGGAGTTGAAGAGGATGCTTCAATCAATCAATCAATCAATCAATCAATCAATCAATCAATCAATCAATCAATCAATCAATCAATCAATCAAAGAACTATATTTTACCAAAAACAAAAACATTTACGGCGAAAAAAGGTGGCCGGGAAAAAAGCTGTCCAATGACAGCTTGACAAAGCCCCAGCCACCCATCGTTGGCGAAACGACAGAGTACAGCTCCTGATAAAAGTGGGGGAAAAATGCATAATAATAGTCGCTAAACAGTTCGACGCGTTGATTCAACGTAGCGGGGGAGGGGGGGGGGGCGCCAAAGACGCAAGAAAAAGGACGACAGAAACAAAAAAAAATATATTGGTAACTGAGTAATAAAAAAACAGTTGTGTTCAGATAATGGATTTTAACGTAAAAAAATAGCTTAAAAGCAAACATCTTTTGCCCCAAGCACCGCTCCACTATTTTATCTAGTAGTTACGCGTTCGGTAAATATATGAATCCTTTTTTTATATCAGTGCCTGTCGTCTTGCTTGCCTCGCTTCTTTTGTGAACCGTGGTGTAGCTCTATCCTCCTTTCCACTTCACAGTTTTCTCACGCGATTCTCTTCAATTGCATCACAAAAAATAATATTCACATCCATCAAGGCATACCCGTTGTCACCTTGCACGCGATGCGCCTCAAAATATGCGGATTAAGCAGAGAGATTCGACGATGAGAGCTTATTAAGAGCTTGGCTGGTTCAGCCTTCGGCAACTTTGTATATCGCAGGTATTTATTCGTATGTACGAGACAAGTGTGGCGGTTGCTTCAAAATCTGCACTTGCTGAAGACCACCTAAACCCTTACCACGTCCAATTATCGACAGGCGCGACAGACAAAAAGTGCAATGAAACTATAAAACCTGAAAGTTTTCTAACAAGCTCGCTCCGAAGAACAAGCGCGAAAAAAAAAAGAAACAAAGGCGCCCAGCGTTTTCGAACCGAGTTACCCGACAGTTCTTTAGACTCAATACAAGTTTCTGGGCTTGTTACGGTAAGGTTTTTTTTTTTTTAAAGAATGGGGCGTAAAATGGTACGGGGAGTAGCTCATCTTGTAGCATAGGAGTAGCTCATCATGTGTGTTCACTGACTACTTGCTTTCTAAAAGAAAGAAAAAAAACTAGTTTCCATTCAGAAAGGCAGTTTTCAGCAAGTCGTCTTAAAAGCAAGAATATGGGAAACATGCACATAAGGGTACACTTCCTAAATTGCAAAGAAAAAGTGACTAAAAAAATTGGCAGATCCCACGTACAGTGAGAATCGATGATATGCGAAGCATGAATGAAGAATGTTCATATATCACTTTAAAATCAGCACAATTACGAGGTGGATGTAAATGACGCCGTACATGACTTCCTTGTCATGTTTAACATATTTGGATGTGTCGTTTACCTTCGTCATCTATTCAATTACGTGATACCAAATTTAGTATATGTGGAGCTAGCGAAACGGCAGCGAGCACGCTGTGAGCATGGTATGTTTTCATGCTCTTACATGACAGCGTGTCAGGGTTATGATGTTTGCACCAGTCATATATTTCGTCATAGATTGACGTCACGTAACACCAAATTTAGTATATGTGGGGCAAGCAAAACGGCCGCGAGTGCATCATAAAGGCTCAATATACTCCAATGTAGCGTTGACGCGCGCGCACGCTGGGCATAGCGACGCTACGTTAGCAGAACGCGTGACTCCATGGTCTGTCGCCAGGCGCGACCAGCGTCCGTCATCGTGGCCCGACGGCAACCGGCGCGAAATTTGAGATGCTGCATTTCGTGCCAATGTCATAGAGTAACTTAGAAGTGTGGCAGCTTGGGCTAGTTGGTATGGCATGACGATAGTTATAGCGCGAGAACAAAACGACGACACAGAGCGCTCGTGTCTTTCGTGTCCTTCTTGTCTCTGTGTCGTCGTTTTGTTCTCGCGCTATAACTATCGTCATAGAGTAACATTACTCTATGCCGATGCGTTACCCAGACAACTGTGCGTCTCCCTCTTTTCGTGACGGAGAGCCGCCGGACGGGCTGAAACGCGCATGCGTCAAGGAGGAGGAGGAAAAAACCTCTATTGATGCTGGCTGTGCCAGATAGAAAGCAACGCAGCGCGGCGCGCACCTGCGAGTATATGGCAGGACCGGCGCCTGGCTTGGCAACGCTGGCGTGACGCGACGAAATGAACGCCGGTGAGCACGCGCACCACGTCATGTCAAAATGTATTGGCGCCTTGACGGTGGCATGTAGTCATGTTCTCAGATGACAAGCATCTCATGATTATTAAGCTTCTAACCAGTCACATATCTCCGTCGTCCATTGAAGTTGCGTAATACCAAATTTGGCATATGTGAAGCTAGCGAAACGGCCGCGAGCGCATCATGACTGTGGTATGTAGCCTGGTTGTTACATGACACGCATGTTGTGATTATCATGTTTGGATGTGTCATTTACCTATATCACCCGTTCGCTTCGCGCAATACCAAATTTGGCATAAGTTAAGCTAGCGAAACGGCCGCCAGCGCATCATGAGCGTAGCATGTAGTCATGTTGTTACATGACACGCATCTCATAATTATCAAGTTTGCACCAGTCAGATACCTTCGTCATCCGTTCACGTACCGTAATACGAAATTCGGTATACGTGACGCTAGCGAAACGGCCGCGAGCGCATCATGGGCGTGGTATGTAGTCATGTTGTTACATGACACAAATGTCATGATTTTTATGTTAGGGTCTGTCGCTTGTGTTCGCCATGCAATCATGTCATAACATACAAGTTTTGCAACATGCTATGTGAACGAAATAACCGCAAGAGCTGCAGGACCATGAAGTGTAAATCATGACATTCATGACATACATGTCATGATTTTCATGCCATGACTAGTCAAAAATGTCTTCATACAGTTATGTTATGCCATACCAAGTTTGGTATCGATAATGTTAACTAAACGGCCAGGAGAGCTAAAAGTCATAGGCGGCTAAATAGATAGATAGATAGATAGATAGATAGATAGATAGATAGATAGATAGATAGATAGATAGATAGATAGATAGATAGACAGATAGATAGATAGATAGATAGATAGATAGATAGATAGATAGATAGATACGTTAAAAGTCGCCAAAGTTCGCTAAGAAACGTTTTGCATTTAGTATCACAGCCTATTCACGGAGTGAATGATGATGAGCAAGGCGAAGCTTCCGAGGGTTTTATCAGCAAACCGTGAATCATCCGCTGACAGCGTCCGTCCGTCGTCTATCTGTCTGTTTGACGCACGGATGAGCAGACTGACAGTCACATGGAAGAACGCAGGGACGGACGCACAATAGGACGAACGGACGGATGCACGAATGGACGAACGGACTCATAGATGAACGCATGGATGGATGGATGGATGGATGCATGTACGAACGCAGGGATGGACGGGCGGATGGCGATGGACGCACGATAGGACGTACGGACGTACGTGCGTACGGATGGACGGAAGGACCAACGCATAGACGGATGCACGAATGGATGGACGTATTGACGAACGCAGGGACGGACGGACGGATGGACGCACAAGAGGATCGATGCATAGACGGATGTACGAAGGACGGACGCATGGACGGACTGACGGACGCTTCGCCCCACTCATCATCATTCACTCCATGAATATGCTGCTATTTTATTTATCATACTACAAGTAATGTCCTCTAGTATCGTACCATTTGCATTTTTCAGCGTTGTACATTTCATTATAAAGTTCTATGGCCGGTTCAATAACTAACGAGAGGTGCCTCAGCCCATGCCTTAAGGAGCGTAAAAATTTTGCATTTCCCGGTGTTTTAAAAGCACACTGTAGTTGCTGCTTATTCACACGTAAAAGTATTATCAGGAGCAGAATACTTGGCGAGTGGATTCAGAAAAAATCAGTAAAAGAAGAGCTTCAAGTCCTAAGCGCTCGACTTACATCGGCCTACATACAAATTAGGGGACAAGACAAACTCACCACCATCCGGCAGGCACGAAAACAACCTCCCCAGCGGTCTGAAGAATCTCCAACGGCTTGAAGTAGCGCGGCCAGTGAGAGGACTGCGTCTTCGGGTAGATGCGCTTGAACCAGGCGACAGCAGTCTCGATCAGGCGGTCCTTGCGCGCGGCCCTGTGGTCGTTGCAGAGCAGGTCCTGCGGCACGTGGTGCGGGAACAGGCACCATCGCCGAGTTCCGTGAACTAGGGCACTCCACAGGTTGCAGTCCAGCGGGTTCGTCTGGATCCTTTCCCCGGCCAGAGCAGGTCCCAAGTTAAAGGCGCGAGTCGGCGGCAAGTCGGACTCCTTGGCGTACTTGAAGATGTCGTCCTTGAAGTATGACGGCACCTCATAGTCTTCACGCATCCTCCTCTTGCCTCCGGTTGCCAGGTCGTCGGTGATCTGGAAGGGCGATGGGTCCCGGTACTCTTTGAGGTAGTAGGCGAAGTACTTCATCTTCACCGTTACGACGTTCCGATTCTGGTCGTGGCCCACGACGAACTCGTTGTCGCTGTACTTGGAGACGAGGTTGTAAAGGGACCAGCGCTCGAGCGCTTTCCACTCGTCCAGCAGACCCTGGATAACCACGGGCCGGCAAAGTTTGTCGTTCTTGCGCAAGAATGTGTCGAGAGGCAGGTCCTTGGCGTGCAGCCGCTCGATGGCGTCCGTAGGCATGGACTTGCGTGCCTTGAGCGTAGCCAATAGCTGAGACCTGTCGTGGTGCGAGGATGTGGCCGACGCTTGCGACGAGTGGTGCTTTCGCTCCTTGAGGCCCAGCTTGGCCTTGACCCGCTCGACCCGGTCAATGGCCACTTTCTGAAACTGCAGGTAGTGCGACGACATGCCGCCAATTTTGAACCAGGGATAGGCGCTTCTCGACGTTCCTTATACTGGCCTAATCTTCTGATCGGACAATGGTGCTTGCTGCTCCGACCGCGCGCCGCCGCCTTCGCAGCGCAAGCTTCTGTCTTCTTCTTTCTTGTCTACAGAGCAGGAACAAGGGGATCGAGAAACAAGAACTTATCTGCAAAATATATATTTATTTTTATACGTCTTTGCAACATTCGCTATCATTCATTGACATAACGTTTCATTTTTGTGGTTAGTGTTGGTTGGTTTAGTCCTTAGCTATATTTTGCGTAACTGAAACTTATATAAAAATTGAAGAAGCACTGACATAAAATTTTGAAGGTGACATAATGAGATAACTAGATTTATCTAGAGACATGTGTACAGCATGTACGAAATATCAAGGGCAAGAAAATTGGCAGATTCCACGTACAGTGGAAATCGATGATATGCGAAGCACGAATGAGGAAGGATGATATGTCACTTTCAAATTAGCACAAGGTTACTAGGCGGACGCAAATTATGCCATACTTGACTTCCATGCCAAGATTATAATGATTGGACGTGTCATGTACCTTCGTTGTCTATTCACGTCATGTGATACGGAATTCGGTATATGTGGAGCTAGTGAAACAGCCACGAGTGTGCTATGAGCGTAGCATGTATTCATGTTTTACATGAAACGCATGTGATGATTATCATGTGTAGACGTCTAATTTATCTTCGTTGTCTATTCAAGTCACGTGAAACTAAATTTGGTATATGTGGAGCTAGCTAAACGGTCGCGAGCACGCTATGAGCGTAGCATGTAGTAATGTTTTACATGACACGCATATCATGATTATCATGTTTGTATGTGTCATTTACCTTCGTCGTCTATCCATGTCACGTGAAACCAAATTTGGTATATGTGAAACTAGCGAAACAGCCGCGAGCACGCTAATGATTGATTGATATGTGGCGTTTAACGTTCCAAAACCACCATGATTACGAGATACGCCGTAAGAAGGGCTCCGGAAATTTTGACGGCCTGGGGTTCTTTAACCTGCGCCCAAATCTGAGCTGACGGGTGTGCAGAATTTTTGACTCCATCGAAAATGCAGCCGCCGCAGCCGGGATTCGATCCCGCGACATGTGGGTCAGCAGCCGAGTACCTTAGCCACTTGACCACCACGGCGGGGCCGCGAGCGCGCTAGGAGCGTAGAATGGTCATGTGTTACATGACAGGCATGTCATGATTATCATGCTTGTACAAAGTCATTTACCTTCTGTTTGCGTCCCATAATGCTAAATTTGGTATATGCAAAACTACAACAAGACTGCCGTGAGCGCATCATAGGCGTGGCATGTAGTCATGTTCTTACATGACACGCATCTTATGATTATCATGCTTGCACCAGTCATATACCTTCGTCGTCCATTCTCGTCCCGTAATACCAAATTTGGCATATCACTGCAAAAAATATCCGTGTGCCAACGTCGGAACTGACCATGAAAATTACCGACTGTGTTCTGTTTCTCGAGATATGGCGGAAGTGGACGTACAACAGCATTCTTGTGCTGCGTTTTAAATAAAAAGGCGGGAAAGACCGTAAATGAGCATTCCAAGTTTCCGTTCCTGTGCTCATTTCGTAAAAAGAGGAAACCAACGTCAAGCTGACGTATTTTGTCACGTGGTGCGCTAGCATCCGAGAAGCCGGAAGCAATGTCATTGACACTTATTTACTCGTCGCCTGCGGTGGTGGGGCGTCGTGCGACATTTTGTGGTTCTTGTTCGCGTGTAGCGATTTGTTAACTTATACATGTGATTGCTTTTGGGCTGGTGTGCTCAAAGATGCCGTTCGTACGTTCTGTGTTAGCCAGGCTTCTTGACAGAGAAAGCGGCTGTGTGCTCCCGAAAATGGATACATCGAGGCTCTGCCATGCCGTGGTGGTGCATTGTCCGCCATTGCTGGCGGTCAGTGCTCCTGTCATCACGAATGTTACACGCAAGTGCTCAATTTTTATTTTTCGTGGGTGTTTGTTTCTTGTGTCAGGTGTTATCACTGTAACGTTACGAAGAGAGAGGTCCCAACGGTCTCTTGGGTAGCGTGTCGTGAGGGCCAAAGCCGGGCAGAGAGCATCCAGGCAGTGGCAAGGCAAAAGGCAGCCAGAAGGAAACGAAACGTTTATATTTACAACGTATGTGCTAAACGTGCGCAAAAAAAGCCCCCGACGTTCAGATGCACTGGTATTTTATAGGCGCTGAGACGCTCGAGGAGGAGGGCTCAGCCACCGCCTTTGAGACGTGTCCAGCGTCTCTGAGTTTCAGAATAGTGCACCTAGAGCTCTTGTGGTGAGGTCGCTGCAACTCCGCATGCGTCGTAACGCGAACCGCCGTTCGCGTTCATGGCCCGCCCACAGAAAAGCTGAAATAGTGTGCGGCGATCGCGGCCCGCGAATTGCTGTCTGTAGCTTCCGAGCATTTGGGTTTGCGGTCGGGGCGAAAGTCCCTAGAATTTTCCGTATAATGAGCAAACACTATTCTAAAGCTCACATGGCGCCCGCAACTAAAGCAACGCCCGCAACACCTGCAAACGTTATTCTAAAACTCCCTTATAGTGCCGAGCGGTCGCCGTGTGCTTCCACATTTCGTTTAGCAGTAAACGACCCAGTACAAACTGTTATGAACGCGCTACGCTTTGCGCAGTGTTATCTGGGCCCCCATCTGGGATAAGATAGAATAGAAAGATACCGATGAACCGGAATGTCTGATTATCACAACTTACGAATGCGTGTGAGTATTCAAAATTCCCAGTAAATTCAAATCCATAAGAGACTAGATGCGTCTGTCGGAGACGGTGGGCGCGTGCCGCGCTTTCTGTTCTTTCGTCGTCGTGGAACCGTCGCGGAGCGACACGTTCGCGTGCTGAAAGTGCGCCGTCCGTGGTGCGCCCTGCGATGCCATGTCGGACAAAGTAGTTTTAAGAGAGAAAGGAAGAGAAAAGTGAGCCCCGTAACTGTCTGCTTCAGTGAGCGACACCTCAACAGTAGCTCACGAGGGATGGGGGTGAGGAGGGATTAAAAGGATTGGAATAAAGGGGTAGAGAGAGAGAAAGAGGCATTAGGTAAGCCAGAGAGCGACGACATATCGAGGGGATAGGAGAGATAGGAAAGATTGACACACGGTCACAGGAGTCCGAGGACGGGGCACCACTTGCGAGAGCTCTTGTCGGCGTCAGGAGGTGGCGTAGAGCAAGTATGGTAAATCAGAGCTACATTCTCGTCAGAGACCGGCGTCAGGAGATGACGTAGGGCGAGCCCAGTCAGCCAGAGCTACGCTGACGTCGGAGATCGCGAGGGCACAACCGGTCGGCACGGAATCCAGCGAGCGAGTCGTGCCATGTTGGACGTTCGTCCATATGTGTGTTCCTGTATGTGTTTTTCCGAAGCGCCCAATGTCCAAAGCTCAAAATTGACTAAGCGCCCGTCACTCGCTTTTCCTTGTTCAACGCCAACTCAATTTGTGAAAAAAATGACATGAAGCGTGTTTCGCATCAATACAGCGGGATTCCTCTCCTAAAATCCGGGTTTGTCGTATGTTAGACGACTACCGATGGTCGGTCTGCCTCCGAATTAACCCGCCGCGTCGGTCTAGGGGTTATCATGCTCCACTGCTGAACCGACGTTCGCGGGATCCCAGCCACGGCGGTTGCATCCTGAATGTAGTGAAAATGCTGGAGTCCCGTGTATTGAGATTTTGAGTGCACGTTGACAAACCCTTGGTGGTCGTAATAAACGCAAGCAGTTTTTATTACGACTGTCAAATATGAAACAGCGCGTGCACAAAGGTGCTTACAGCTGGTGGAGGAGCCGAGCAGCCGTCGGGATCTTGAAGTGTATAATACGCTGCTATAGATGAAGGTGTAGCTGGGCCTGTATAGTTCGGCAGGACAGCTGCCTATGCTATACAAGCACAAAGGTCGACAACTTGTCCACGTGGAGGCAAATAATCGTACAGTGCCTGTGCTAAGCAGCACACGAAAGTAACGCGACAAGTAACAAAACACAAGCAAATAAAAGTGTAGCGGTCGCTGCTTGTTAAGGTCATGATTTTTTTTCTATATGGCCAAGTTTCGTGCACCGGTTGCTTCACACTCACACACAACCAATGACAGTCCTTGGCGTGTGCAGTTTTAGGTTTTTTAAGTGCTATATTTTCTTTATGATACGAACAATAATTTCTGAAAATGATACTGCTGATTGGGGATGTGATCAGAGACAGTAGGGCAACGCGTGTAGTTCACTGCCCACATGGTTTCTGGAAATATGGCAATGTGCGCAGCAAGGGCTATATACATATGTCCAGAATCACGAGTTTACGTTGCTGATCAACGGAAATGTTCTGATAACTTTTTATTTTCTACATTCATTTCAGGAGTAAACAAAGCGCTGAAATGGCAGTCTGAGGACCTTTAAAATGTCACAAGCCGGTCAACGTCATCTGTTTATTTTGTTCAAAGATATGAAGCAATGTTTTGCTGAATGGGTCGAAATTATGTATTTGGCATGCAGCAGCATGAGGGGTGTGTGCACAGTACATGCAGACATCATTATAGTGTATATTGAAACACCAATGTCAAACGTACAAACACCTATGCGATATAAAACATCAATTCTTGGTGTGTACATTGAATATTGTACGTTTGAAAGAGACTGGTAGACGTTGAAAGGGGCTGTTTATTAGGTCGTGAGGGGCAGCTCAGAAGCGGCTGACTGGTTAAAGATCCTCCAGATTCTCTTCTTCCTTTCTCGCTCTGGGCGACAAGTGCGTTCACCGCATACGCTTCTGTGTCTTCGTGCATGTACGCAACATTTCTCTCCGCGCAGACGAAGGCCGCCGGACAAGTCAGTCGAGTTTCGTGGAGTGTACAGTTTCAGGCGGGCAACATGAACCACTTGAGTTTTGGCAGCTTGTCGACCACTCGCCGTGAGACGAGCTATTACATAGTTGA